CACGCCCCAGAGCTTCCTGCAACTTTCTATACCACAATTTTTGGGGGGTTTGTGTTTGTGTGCTTTGCCTTGCTTCTGTTGTGCTATTAGTGAAAAAATACCCCTCCAAGCAAGGGACGCGGGTGGCGCTGTGGTCTAAACCACAGAGCCTAGGGCTTGCCGATTAGAAGGTCGGTGGTTCCAATCCCCATGACGGGATGGCCTTGTTTTGCCATCCTAGGCTTCATCAGTAGAACAGGCTCTAGGTAATGCAAATGAATACAATATTGTAATCTCACACATTTTTACAGCAAAATTAATTTTAAAAAAACCCCATAAACAACTGTACATACCATATGTAATATTACAGGATAGTGTTTTCTTGTTGAACTTTATGAGACTTGAAATCTACAATTTGATACGATGCATAGTGTTTATTATTTACTATAAAGCAAGCATAGGCAAACTCGGCCCTCCAGATGTTTTGGAACTACAACTCCCATCATCCCTAACTAGCAGGACCAGTGGTCAGGGTTGATGGGAATTGTAGTCTCCAAACATCTGGAGGGCTGAGTTTGCCTGTGCCTGCTATAAAGGCTTCCTCTTCACAGCAGCAGCTGCAAATTCTAGCCCAGACATTACCTGGGATTTGGGGGGAGAACCCTGAATCTTTCTTGGCAGCGATCTTCACTTTGCAGAGTTTGCAAATCAGCCCTTGCGGCTGCCTCCTGCAAGCGAAGACGCAGCCCGAGTTTTATTGCCAATTGATTGGCTGTTAGCAGACATTAGACAAATTAGAGCAGGCCATTAAGCCTGGACGGAGGAGCGTAAATGAGGGAAAGATGGTGCGTCGCTTCCAATGACCCCCCTCCCCTTGCCTCCTGATGGTTGCCTGCCCTCCCCGATCAGCAGGATCAATAAAGCGACATCATGTAGCCCAAATCAATGGAACAGCTGGAATGCCTCCCATATATAACAGCCTCGGTGTTAGATCATATGCTCAGGACCTGCTTCCTCTCGCCACCTTGGGAATGGCAACCAGCAAAGAGTTACGGCCCGTCCTTTGGGGGACATTAGATTCATAAACTAGGGGAGGGAAACCGATATTGGAAAAGCAATAAGGCATTAGGGAGGCATCTCTTCCGTCGTAATGCTCTGGCCGACTTGTGCTCAGGGCAGCCTGGATTGATGCCCTGAGTACCAGGACTAGTTGCGCCTTGTCGAAACGGAACTTTCTTTTTTCTTTTAAAAATCATTTTTATTAAGTTTTCCGTTCTAACATTCCAACCCAATCACATTAAATATTCCAAATTATACATATACGTATCAAATAATGCAAATATTCTGCAAAATTATAATTTTTTGTTGGGACTTCCCATGCTTCAAGTTCATAGGGTGGGCTCTGATCATCTCATATCTCTGCTGCTTTTGATAGTCATTTCTAATAGTTCCTTTAAATCTTCCTGTTGTTAACCTTCTTTCTTTCATGACCTCTGAGTTGTTTCCACAAGCGAATTGAAGTAAAATGATGTGTGTCAAAACAGAGCTTTCAACCACTTTAATCCGATAGTTTCTAACAAGATTAATTTATGAAAGGAAGGGAATAAGGCCCGGGGCTTTGGGCAGAGATGGGGAGGCACACCTATTGGGCAGTGTTGCCAGGGTCTTGGTGTGGACCTTGTTTACCTTACTTATTCATTGTAGATGCTTAAATTCCCATCCCACTTCATTCCAGCAGTGGGAGAGTTGCAAAGCGGAGCTCGCTCCATCAGATTTGCTGTGAGAAGACAGCTCCATCAGGGACCTCCTGGCCCTGAACTGTGCCAGCTGGTCATTCCTCTACAATTTTATAATTCTATGACGGTTTAGATGTTGGTTCCTGAGAGCCAGCGTGGTGTAGTGGTTAAGAGCGGTAGTCTCGTAATCTGGTGAACCGGGTTCACTTCCCCGCTCCTCCACATGCAGCTGCTGGATTACCTTGGGCTAGTCACACTTCTTTGAAGTCTCTCAGCCCCACTCACCTTACAGAGTGTTTGTTGTGGGGGAGGAAGGGAAAGGAGAATGTTAGCCGCTTTGAGACTCCTTAAAGGGAGTGAAAGGCAGGATATCAAATCCAAACTCTTCTTCTTCTTTTCCTCACCCTTCCCTGCCCCTTTCACCTTGCATGCCATGCTTTATCAGATTCCTAAACCCGCAGGTTGGGACGGTCTAGTTTTGATAATACATAATCTTCCGGGTTTTGTCACTCACACATGTAACCTCACTTGTCTGTAACCTCACCTGTCTGTAACCTCACTTCTTGCAATGAGGGAACCGCCAGAAGGCCCTCGGTGCTGGATCTCAGTGTCCGGGCTGAATGATGGGGTGGAGACGCTTCTTCAGGTATACTGGACCAAGGCCATTTAGGGCTTTCAAGGTCAGCACCAACACTTTGAATTGTGCTCAGAAATGTACTGGGAGCCAATGCAGATCTCTCAGGACCAGTGTTATGTGGTCCCGGTGGCTGCTCCCAGTCACCAGTCTAGCTGCCGCATTCTGGATTAATTGCAGTTTCTGGGTCACCTTCAAAGGTAGCTCCACGTAGAGCGCATTGCAGTAGTCCAAGCGGGAGATAACTAGAGCATGCACCACTCTGGCAAGACAGTCCACAGGCAGGTAGGGTCTCAGCCTGCGTACCAGATGGAGCTGGTAGACAGCTGCCCTGGACACAGAATTAACCTGCACCTCCATGGACAGCTGTGAGTCCAAAATGACTCCCAGGCTGCGCACCTGGTCCTTCAGGGGCACAGATACCCCATTCAGGACCAGGGAGTCCTCCATACCCGCCCATCTCCTGTCCCCCAGAAACAGTACTTCTGTCTTGTCAGGATTCAACCTCAATCTGATAGCCGCCATCCATCCTCCAACCGCCTCCAGACACTCACACAGGACCTTCACTGCCTTCACTGGTTCTGATTTAAAAGAGAGGTAGAGCTGGGTATCATCTGCATACTGATGAACACCCAGCCCAAACCCCCTGATGATCTCAGTACATTCATTCATTCATTCATTCATTCATTCATTTAACTATGCTGCAAAAATTCAGAGAAGCACACGTTTCAAAAGGATGGCTGTGTTTCGGTCCACGTGTTGCATCGGGCAGCGTGACTTTGCTCGCTCTGACTTTACATGGAAACTGAATCAGGAAATCTCCCCTGTCCCATCTATAGCTACAGCCTTCATTCTCCCTGGCCATTGGCCATGATGACAGCAGATGGTGGCTGCTGCGGTCTCAAAATCCAGGAAGTCTGCCCCCAAGAGGATTGCCCCTATTACCCCAGAGCTGCTGGAATTTCCCCTGCCTTGATGTTGTGCTGCCTGCCGCCAGCTTAGCCTATCCTAGCGAGGAATATCCTTTGGCCAGGCTAGAGAGGGGTGGAGAGCAAAGGCGCCTGCACCTTTAAAGATTAATAGTATTGTTTGCTCATTAAGGAGATCATTCAGGGCCAGGCTGAAGCTGGAAGGCTTGAACGCAAGCATCTGTTTGCTACTGGGAGAGGATATTAATTGCCTTGATACTTCAGTGGGTATAAATATGACCGCCAGCCCCAGATAGCATCCGAACAAACAAACAAACAAGCAAACAGACAGATGCCAGCAGGGTCCCTCTGATGGCTGACCTTTGCAGAGAGCTGGGCGGCTGTTTTTAATAGCAGCCTTCCTGGCTGAATAGAACTGCATGGCGGGAGGGCTCTGGGGAGATGGAATTAATGTTGTTACGTCAGGGTCCTTCAGGGCTGCCAGATTGGCTATGGGGCGGGACTTTGAAAGCGGAGACTGGTTGCAGGGTGGATTTGATTTAAATCAATTTGATTTAAATCATGGTTTAAATCACTAGTCAGTAAGACTTGATTTAAATCTTTCTTTCTTTCTTTCTTTCTTTCTTTCTTTCTTTTACAGAAAGACTCATTCTTGCTGGAATAATCTTAATATTTACAGCCGTATGAAGGTTTCATTTTTGGAATAATAAAGTAGTTTTATTATCATAAATACATAGGCAGGTGATTGTGAAATTACGGTGAGGTTTAGTAAGTTAACTGTTTATATTTGGAGAACTTTTCTGCTGTTCTTCATTGGAAGGAGGAAAATAATTGTTTCCTTAATAACCATTTAAACCATTTAACTAAAACAATAACATTATAGCATATGTATCCATGTTTGTTAACTGATGGGGTTAAAACATTTTTAAAAAAAAAACTTATACTGAGTTTTAGCAAACATTTGGCCTATAATGTAACAAATAGAAGACTATATTTAGAAAGATTTTTCCTCCAAAAGAATTGTATTTTAATTTTTTTTAAAAAAAATCCAATTTAAATTTTAAAAAAATTCTATATCTATCATCTATCATCTATCTATCTATCTATCTATCTATCTATCTATCTATCTATCTATCTATCTATCTATCTATCTCTATCTATCTATTTGTCTGTCTGTCTGTCTGTCTATCTGTCTGTCTATCTATCTATCTATCTATTTATTAATTATAAAAAATCATTGATTTTTATTCACCCTGGCCAGTTGGCTCTGTGTGAGTGACTGAGGCTGAAGACTAAGACATATATATGAATGTTGGAAGGTTCAGCACAGAAAACAAGAAGTCCTTCTTTACAGAGTGCATAGTTAAACTAGCAGAGATAGCGCAGGATAGTGCGCACCCCGGAAATGATCTCTTTCAGCTTCTGCCTTCTGGAAGAAGGCACAGGGTTATAAAGACTAGGGCTAGCCGCCTGAGAAACAGTTTCTACCCAAATGCGATTTTTGTTTTAAACGCAGTGTAAGGTAGTCTCTATGTGAGTATATTGTATTCAGTTATGGGGTATCAGAGTTTTTAGGGGCTAACCAGGCTGGGATAGCAGGCTTGTTGGTTTTTGAATGTCTGATGTAGATTTTTTCAATTTCGTTGTTCTGTATGGGACAATGGCAATAAAGATTATTGTATCGTTCCTTTGCCTTATGTCTCCCTTTTTTGGTTTTTGCAGATCCGTGTCGATGGACCCATCAGAGGTGCCCTCGAGTATGAGATTGTCCAGGTCGTGGATACAGGCCCAATCTTGCGGGACATGGCTTTTTCTGTGGATCACAAGCATCTGTACCTCATGTCTGATAAGCAGGTGAGTGGCATGGCTATCATGCGCTGCTATCCTTTAACTCCAGGAGTAATTGTGTGTTGGTTTTTCTTCTCCAGTTATAGAGTCTTGTGGATAGGCACAGCCTCTTCCATTTAGCAAACTCTGGATCATGTTTCGCAGTGGGATTTGTTTCGCTCTGACCTTAAAGAGGCAATAAGGAACCAGCACTGCTACTGAGGCCACATAATACCCGTTCTGCTTCTGCACGAAATCGGCCTTTGGAACTCCCTGCCTATTGATATCAGGTAGGCACCTTCACTGGACTCTTCTTGGTGCCTGCCAAAAACATTTTTTATTTAGGCAGGCCTACCCAGATACTATGGGACGCGGGTGGCGCTGTGGGTTAAACCACAGAGCCTAGGACTTGCTGATCAGAAGGTCGGTGGTTCGAATCTCCGCGACGGGGTGAGCTCCCGTTGCTCGGTCCCAGCTCCTGCCAACCTAGCAGTTTGAAAGCACGTCAAAGTGCAAGTAGATAAATAGGTACCACTCTGGTGAGAAGGTAAACGGCGTTTCCGTGCACTGCTCTGGTTCGCCAGAAGTGGCTTAGTCATGCTGGCCACATGACCCAGAAGCTGTCTGCGACAAACACTGGCTCCCTCGGCCAATAAAGAGAAATGAGCGCTGCAACCCCAGAGTCAGTCACGACTGGACCTAATGGTCAAGGGTCCCTTTACCTTTACTTACCCAGATACTTAGAATGCTAATGCGCCTTTAGTTTATTCCTCATTTTAGGTTTTTTAAAAAGCGTTTTAATTGTTTTTACTCACAATTTTATTATTTTCATAAACGACTTTGAGGGTTTCCCCCCATTCAAGTGGTATATAAATGTCATTAAATGAATGAATGGCAGCTGTAGAGGTGTTCAGCAGGTAACAAGAAGAGTACAGTGAAACTGCCTCCCTTTTGTCAATGGCCAGGGAGTTCTGAAGTTCAGGTGCTGCCACACACAAAGACTGATTTCTTGCAAATGCAGAACACGTATTATGTGGTGCCTTGAACAGTGCCAGTTGTGGATCATAGTGGTCTTCAGTTTAGCTCTTTACACACCAGTAACAATTTAAAAAAATGAAAGCCTTGTGGAAACTCATCAGCATTTTAGTGGATAAATAAAATAACAGCTTCAACTTCGATTTATGGTTACTTCTTCTTGCTATTTTGTGTTGGTACTAAAGCTTATGGTGGAAAGTGCTATGATTGGCCATCTTGTTGCAACTGTCAACTTTTCAGGGCGAAGGAAGCCTGAAATATGGTGTCCATCTGAGCAGCCTGCTGTTATGTGTGTTTACTTGGTAGTGCTCCCACTCTGTTTCATGGAACTTACTCCCAGGTAGGAGCAGGTGGGGCTCATCAACCTGGGAAGGAAGCAAAACTCTGATCCTAAACCTCCGCTGGCTTGGGGCTATAATCATTCATGAGAAAGCATTTGGGAGTAAACCCAGAGGGGAACCCGATACCGGCTGCCTTGCGGGACATATTTGGGAGAAGAAAAGACTAAGGATTAAACCCTACCGCAAATCCAGAGAGAAGTCCCTAAGACAGTTGGAGAGTGCCTTTGTACGACTCCTTCCGACAGTTCCTGCAGCCAAGCTGGTGCCAGACGCCTTGCTCTGCTTTCCTTTGGACCACACCAGCGAGGCCAAGAGTACGGTCTTGTTATCTGGGCAGCCTAGGACCTCCATATACACTGCTCAGGCCTGCAACCCCAGGCAGGTCATTCCAGTGCTGCTAACACAGTAAAAGCAACATGGGAGGTGGCAGTTATGAGTTACTGGCCTCTGCGGCCACAGTGATTCTGCACTGGTTCGACTTCACCCCTAGAGGCGCACTCCACTGTCTCTAGAGACAGAGGGATGCCAGCAACTCGCAGGAAGGGTGCACAGAATTGCAGCAAACATTTGCGCCATATACGCTCATCCTGTGGTGTGTTTTCTCTTCCTCTCCCTTTCACCAAACTTTCCTTCTCTCTCTCTCTCTCTCTCTCTCTCTCTCTCTCTCTCTCATTCTCCTCTTTTAAATAGTCCAGAACAAATGAAATGGAATGGATGGAATTACTGCTGTCAATGGCATGTTGCAAATGAGATTCAATGACATGATCCCAAGTTGAAGACCAAAGTTCTAGAACCGTGGTTCCAAAACTGGGTGGTGTCACACGCTGCGGGTGGTGATATTATGTTGGGTGGGGTGCTAAGAGGCACTAAGGCAGGCAGGGGCCGCTGGAGGCGTAAAGACTTTCAGACTTTGCAAACCTGGTATTCTTTGTAAATCTGGTTCATCAGTTCTGTGGAATGAATCAAATAGCTTTAATTGGGTTTTGAACAAATGTGCAATTAACTGCTACTGCTTTGAATTTTACGGTGGTGTTGTCTTCCTTAGTGCGCCATGCAAGCCATTGTTCTGAGTAATAGGGTAAGAGGGCACTAGGGATGAGTTCAGTGCAGGATTTACGTATAAGCTAAACAAGCTATAGCTTAGGCCCTCACTCTCTTGGCCCCTCCCCCCCAAAATTTAAAAGTATTTCACTATTAATATACTTCTTCTTAATTGTATTTCAGTTCAACAATTACTTTGATAAAATACATATTTTGTTATGTGCAAATGACTTTAGATACAGTGGTGCCTCGCAAGACGAAATTAATCCGTTCCATGAGTCTCTTCGTCTTGCGGTTTTTTCGTCTTGCGAAGCACGGCTATTAGTGGCTTAGCGGCTATTAGCGGCTTAGCGGCTTAGCGGCTATTAATGGCTTAGCGGCTTTAAGAAAAAGGAAACAAACTCGTCTTGCAAAGCAAGCCCATAGGGAAATTCGTCTTGCGGAACGACTCAAAAAACAGAAAACCCTTTCGTCTAGCGAGTTTTTTCGTCTTGCGAGCCATTCGTCTTGCGGGGCACCACTGTACCTATTAGGTCCATAAATTGTCATATAGCATATATTCAACACAAAAAAGCGACAATTTGTTGTTGACAAAGGACAGCTGGACATATAAAGGGCCCCATTACCTTCGCTAGCTTAGGGCCTCATCAAACCTAAATCTGGCCCTGGACGAGCTTTCGGAACCAGCAGGGCAGTGGCCTAAAAAGGTTTGGGAACCACTGGGCAAGAAGATTTGTGTTGGTCCCGTGGGTACCAACCATGTGCTTTCGAGGGTGCCTGTTATTACTTCGTCCTTCTCCACCACCATGAATATTCATATACCAAATATGAGCTGTATAGGAAAGAGAGGTGCCGTTTTATCCATTCATCTTCATTAGCTACTAAGCCATAAGCTATAACTCATGGGCTGTGAGGGCAGTGGCGACAAAGGACAGATTGCTGCTGCTTCTTCTACCTTTATTTCTCTCTCTTTTTTGGCCCGCCTTTTGCATAAATGACAATCTTATCACTGCTACTTTCTCCATCAATCCTCCTTTTATTATATGAGCTTTAGATGGGGGTCTTGAGGATAAATGAAATGAGATTCCGGCACAACCATTTGTTAAAACCCAGGTTTTCCCCAACTGCAATATAAAGTTTGTCAGATGTTTTGGAGTAATCTGGGTGTATGGATGTTGTTGTTGTTGTTTAGTCGTTTAGTCGTGTCCAACTCTTTGTGACCCCATGGACCAGAAAACACCAGGCACTCCTGTCTTCCACTGCCTCCTGCAGTTTGGTCAAACTCATGCTGGTAGCTTCGAGAACACTGTCCAACCATTTTGTCCTCTGTCGTCCCCTTCTCCTTGTGCCCTCCATCTTTCCCAACATCAGGGTCCATGGGACTCTTAAGAGTCTCCTCCAGCACTGTAATTCAAAACCATCCATTCTTCGATGATCAGCCTTCTTTATGGTCCAGCTCTCACTTCCATACATCAGTACTGGGAAAACCATAGCTTTAAGTATATGGACCTTTGTCGGCAAGATGATTTCTCTGCTTTTTAAGATGCTGTCTAGGTTTGTCATTGCTTTTTCCCAAGAAGCAGGCATCTTTTAAATTCGTGACTGCTGTCACCATCTGCAGTGATCATGGAGCCCAATAAAGTAAAATCTCTCACTCCCTCCATTACTTCCCCTTCTATTTACCAGGAGGTGATGGGACCAGTGGCCATGATATTAGTTTTTTTATGTTGAGCTTCAGACCATTTTAGTTCACTGATGCCCAGGATATCAATATTTATTCCTGCCATCTCATTTTTGACCACATCCAGCTTAGCAAGGTTCATGGTTCTTACATTCCATGTTCCTATGCAATATTTTTCTTTACAGCATCGGACTTTCCTTTCGCTTCCAGGCACATCCGCAACTGAGCGTCCTTTCGGCTTTGGCCCAGCCGCTTCATCAGCTCTGAATCTACTTGTACTTGTCCTCCGCTCTTCCTCAGTAGCATGTTGGACGCCTTCCGACCTGAGGGGCTCATCTTCCAGCATCATATATTTTATATACCTGCTGTTTTTGTCCATGGAGTTTTCTTGGCAGGGATACTGGAGTGGCCGGCCAGTTCCTGCTCCAGGTGGATCACATGTAGTCAAAACTCTCCACTATGACCTGTCCATCTTCGGTGCCCTGCACAGCATAGCCCATAGCTTCTCTGAGTTATTCAAGCCCCTTCTCCACGACAAGGCAGTGATCCATGAAGGATGTGCATGTATGAGGAGAGCTAAATCTGCCATCCTTCTTGGGGAAAGGCCATAGTTCTGTGGTAGAGCATCTGCCTGCATGCAGAAGGTCTCGGCACCTCCAGGTAGGGCTGGGAGAGACTGCCAGTCAGTGTAGACAATACAGACTTTGATGGACCAATGGCCTGAGTCAGTGTAAGAGTGTATCCACAGGTCTTCTCTCTAGGGGAAAGGAAAAGCGCACTATTCAGGGGGATTGCTCAGTCATATAAGGATTCGTAGATAGGGATCCTAGGAATTTTGGCAGTTTCACATCAGGGAAAGATTTGCTGAAGTCATGCATCGCTGGAAATGGTGTTTTGTGTTGGGCTTGGACCAATCAACCCTTCCTATG